GCCGTGGACGTTCCCCTGGGATCCGAGTGACGGTGCCGGAGGCGGCGCCTGCTGCTGTTTCTTCCCCTCGCCGTCCTCATGCTCCTCCTCTCCCTCGCCGCTCCACCCACCGCCTCCTCCACAGAGGCGCTTCTCCCTCTCTCCCGTGCTCATCCGCGAAGCTGCCGCCCAGTTCTTGCCGCCACCTCCGGTGCCCCCGCAAATCACGTCTCACCCTCCGGCGGTGCCTGCCTCGCCCTCGTCCGCCTGCAGCACTCCGTCTTCAGTGCGCCGTGCTCTTCCTCCTCAACTTCCACGGTGCCATTCTCAGCCCTGCGACCTGCTCCTGTTCAAACCTGGCCTGAAGCGCCGCAGGGACCCGGACAGACCATGTGCACGGCCTGTGCTAGATTTCACCAAAATGACACAGGTATGCTGTTCTTTACCATTCTGAAGATACAGCTACTACAGCTGGTGTTATAAAATAGGTTATTTTTAAAGCAAGAGCCTTTGGCGCATCTGATGGGAATGTGGAAAAGGAGGCAGCTGACAGTACAAAAAAGAAAGGAAAAATGATAAAAATATGACATTGTTTAAAGTAGGGCTGAGTATTGATACAAATTTCCTGATTCTATTCAATTTCATTCAGTTCAAAATTTCATCCAACTTTACCTGCATACATACGGTACACTCACATAAAGCAATCCATATTGTATAATTACAGAAAAAAATCTATTTTTTGGAACAACAAATTTTGTGGGAAAGATCGTAAAAGTAGTTTGTTGTTGAATAATTAATCATATAACTGTATGAGGTTGTGAACAGCAAAATTGTACACCTGTAGCAAAGTTTGTACCATATTCTGTTTTGACAAATAATTCACTTTTATTATAACACTTTAATTAAAACATTCATTTAAAAAAAATATAGAAATATTTCATATATTTGTAAGATTCTGAAAGCATCATACACTGTTTAAAGGTGACCTGTTAATAATTTATAATTATTGGCTTTTAATGTGGCTTTTGTAGTAACAATAAATTATATTTGATGATATGATTATATTTTTAAGTGTGATTGTTTTATTATAATTATGGTGATTGTCTAAGGTGGACACCCAACTTAATAAATGATATTGAACATTTGAATCTAACGTCATGTCAGCGTGTGTTATAAAAGTTTTAGTTATTAGTTTAGTTATTAAAATTCTCTGTTTATTTATATATTATACCTTGAACAAAACTGAAAATCATTAACAAGACCTCAAAACATATTTGGTCATTTTAACGATTCATTGTTTGATACATAAAGCTACAACATTTTAAAAAACATGAAATATTAGAATAGACTTTTTATTTCTGCCTGTCAAAGTTCAGCTAAATTTCCTCGTGGATGTTTAGAAGTGCTGCAGTGAATTTTTGTTATCTAGTGGTTTAGAGGAAAATTAAAATGTGCCTGTTAGTCTGGTCAGCTGTTTAGCCTCATTGTACCCTAATATAGATGATCATTTAAATAGTCATTGGCCAGTAATTAACCAGTTTTAAAGTGCTCAGTTAGGCATTTAGATATTATAAACTTTAACATGAATTTCTCTGTATGGCGTTGAACATGTTATTGTGAAAAGTGCTACAGCCTACATATATTTCAGTTAGTTCTGTTTTTGCTACTTTTTGTGTAGTTGAACAAATCAGTGATTCAGACTGATTGCAACTGGTAGCTCATCTTTTTGGACTTCTGAATAGAAGAATCAATTTGTTAGGTAATTAATTAAAATTAACACTGAAGTGTAACACTGGAGGGCCACTAAAAAAGCTCACGAAACAAATATATTTACATTGTTTTCCTTTATCATAAACTGATGAAAATTCTCATCACATTTGGTTTGAGATGTTTAGTTCCCTATAATTTGCAACTGTGTGGTGTTGTAGCATCTGTACAGTTTTGTGTTTTTGTCATGTTTATCTTGCCAACTCCACTTTGAAAACGTTGTCACGGGGCATAAAAATGATCTTGAATATTAATTTGGTGCTTTGGCATATGCCCAGTATTCTTTGTTAAAAACGCAGGTAAGTGGGTGCTAGCTATCAGTGGTGTGAAAAAGTGTTGGCCCCCTTCCTGATTTCTTATTTTTTTGCATGTTTGTCACACTTTAATGTTTCAGATCATCAAACAAATTTAAATATTAGTAAAAGATAACACAAGTGAACACAACATGCAGTTTTTAAATGAAGGTTTTTATTATTAAGGGAAAACAAAATCCAAAACTACATGGCCCTGTGTGAAGAAGTGTTTGCCCCCCTGTTAAAACTGTGGTTTATCACATCTGAGTTCAATTTCTTTGTCAAAGTTGTGTTTACTTGTGTTATCTTTGACTAATATTTAAATTTGTTTGATGATCTGAAACATTAAAGTGTGACAAACATGCAAAAAAATAAGAAATCAGGAAGGGGGCCAACACTTTTTCACACCACTGTATAGTAGCTTAACGCTAACATGTTCGTACAGTCCACAGCAGAAACAGCCCTTTGACGCAGAGGCTTCTGCTTGCTTTCAAAGTTGTTTTATGTGGCCAAAACTTTTCAAATGTATGATTGTGTCCCAAAAAGTAGCGGGGAGAAGCTTAGAAGTCTCTTCAGTTGTTGCTTTGCCAGTGTTTAACTTAAGTTATTTATCTCTCTGTTTTCAGACTCGAAGCACAGACCCTCTCAGTTACATGGAGCGTAGCAGATTGGCCTGCGGTGGGGACGTCTGTATGGGCCTTGAGCCTTTTTTTGGAGACTTCAGAGCCTCATGTTCACCAGCTGAAGGCCTGGGTAGGACGAGTATTGGGCCGTTAAGTGAAAGTGACGAGGAGGAGAGAGAGGAGGAGGACCCTGAAGAGCGTGACGGGGGACAAACTAGCGTGTTCGAAAGGGATTGTACTGAACTAGATATCACCCTCATTGAGGAGAACTGAAAGTTATCCGGGGAAGATCTTTTCCCCCTCACCTCCACCGCCAGCATTCAGCTCTCTCTGCATCACCTGCTACCTTACACTGGCAGGCCTCTCAGGAACCCTGCTGCCCTCGCACGAGGCGCACAGGTGTAGACGCCCATTACTGAAGACATGCCGACTACTATCATATGCAGGCAGTCACAGACGCTGACACATCAACATTGTACATTCCAGAATGAGTTGCTGAGACATTCTGAAGGATGCAAATATTTAAAAAAGGAGTTTTATGTGTATCAGACGTCCTCTTAGAATTCATCTTCAAACTGACAGAACGGAACTGGAGGTCAACAGCTTCCTGCTTCTTTCTTTTCTCGTCTTTCCTCTCGGACTTGTTTTGATAGTAAGAATAGACTTTCTTGGATGACGGTTATAAATATCAGTGTTTTGTTCAGTTGAAATATAAAAGGGCAGTATGACATAGCAGTATTTACTCTGCAGACCTTTATACTTCCTGACGAAGGTCCATCTAATTCAACATAAGCCTTAAGATGCCTGTTTTTTTCTTCCTCTTAATCAAAAGATTCCTCAAGGAAATGAATTGTGTACTGTAGCTGTTGTTCTGTTTTTTTTTCTGCAGTCTCTCTTTTTTTATCTGTACAATGCATTCCTCTAAAATTGAAACGTGTATACATTTATTAATGCACTGTATTTGGGACATTTAGAAAGAAACAATGAACGCAACCACTGTATTCTGAAGGCACATTGTTATACTGTATTGTACAGCGAGTATTTGTTCAAATAAGTTGTGTAAAGATGGTAGCTTGAAGGTTGGAGACAGGCTATTTCTGTCATTTAGAGATTTTTTTTTTATTGTACGTGTGATAAATTCAGACTCAGTTTATGTAAAAATAAAGTTTATTTGAAATTACAGCGAGTTGAAATATTAACTCGATGAGTTGTCTAAAACTGGAATGATGAAATTAAGCAAATGAGTGACTTGATCCTGTCCACGGTTGTTTCTAATTTCGTTTTTCAAAATCATTTTATTGCCATCTGCTGTTTATATTCATAGTGCCAATATTACAGGTGATGGTAAATGCCCCACTGAAGTAAGTTGTACGCCATGTGAGTTGACATGTTTTGTATACGTTTCATTGGAATTGCTCATGTCACTTAAGTTATTCTTACAGATTTAAATCACATACCTGGACCTTGTATGCGGTCTAATAATAATATACCGATACTTTCGACTTCAAATAGATGGAGTGCCACATAATGTAAACCCCTCTTTACAAAATGGATATTTCCAGTCCTTGATTCCAGTTGGTTGAGCCGTTTTCAAAGCTGTTGTAAATTACTCTACAAACATTCACCTTTGTTTCTGCGTGTGTTTCTCAGCAACCACTTTGTTGCAACCACAACCGTTTCTGAGGAACTACATTGTCGAAAGAATGTTTTTATGAAACATTGCTACATATATGGAATAACCATTTTATAAAAGCAATAAGCCCCGCTCCATGTAGTGCCTAAAACGCCCCTTAGCTGTTATAAATTCACTGTAAACCACGGCTTATTGCTTTATTGAGATGTTACTTACCGGGCATTACTTACCTGGTGAGTTTATCAAACATTCACTGATAAATAAAAACTGGTAAAACGAGAGGCTTAACCTCTCTAGAATTGAAGCATAATCGGAATTGTTAGTATTTCCAGATTATCATATGTTTTCCTAATAAAATTTAAAAAAAAATTGTTTATTTTCACAAATGTGTTTTAATGTGGCTCAAAGGTGTATTATATTTATGGAGGAATCACACCAGTGACAGGAAACACTAGGGCTGTAAGAGGATCTTCTGATGCGGTCGAGACAGAAAATTCTAGGGCCAGAGTAGCTTTAGCAGGAACCTCTGGGACCAGGGAGGTTGAGAGAGGAGCTCTGGGACTGGAGCAGCTTTAGCTCTGGCTGAGGTTATGACAAGAAAGATTGAGGCTGTTTGGCTGGAGGTTTTTTGGCAGCCATGGAATGAATCTCAACACCATCATGGGAGGAACCTTCATGGCACACATGACGGGAAGCTTTCCAACTTCAGCTGTTATGAGACAGAGCTCTGAAACCATTGCAGGCTCTGGGGTTGCAGCAGCAGAAACCTTCAAGCCTGGACAAGAAGCTGTGGGACCAGGGCAGCTCTGAAAGGGTACCATGTCGAGTGACCTCTGCGGTGCCTTTTATTCGGTTCTCTCTGACCTCAGCAGGTTTTGGAGAGGCAGTGACAGTGGCATTCACAAGGATTTCTGCAGCGGCCCTGACAGGATCATTGGGCCCAAGGTGGCTGAGAAACAGCTCTGTCGCCATGTGAGTGACAGGAACCTCTATGGCAGCAGTGCCAGGAATTTGTGGGACAGGCTTGACAGGGAGCTCTGTGAAGCTCTAGGTGACTCCATTTTTAGAAATATGATTGGATGGTGCTGTACTTAACTAACTTAACTAACTAAAACTAAATGAACTATTTACAATTCACATCCCTAGGCGAGTAGTTCCGCAAGACGCTAAAACTACTGCCTCAGGCCAAGGTGCCAGACGCTACCAAGGCCTGCCAGCCCCGCAAGACACTAAGACTGGAGGGATGGAGGGGTCACCTGTGTCAGCCCGCCAGACGCAAGGCTGACCCTGTCCTCCATGACTTACAGGGGGACCTGAAACACAATTACAAATTATACAATTACAACTTGAACAAATTAGACAAACCGATATAAGGTTTAAAAATAAGCAGCTTTTTGTCTATGCAATGTATGAAGATTGACTATATGAGTTACTGCAGGTATTGAAAGTCAGCTGATGTCCATATTAAAATAAACTAGACCATCAAGATGCCAAACTAAACAAACACTATATCTTTAAAATAATTTTAGCTTCTCTTTGACACAGTACTTTAAACCAGTCATGGAAGAGCATCTCCTCCAAATGAAGCCTCTTCCCCGGGTCGCTCTTCAGACATCCTCGGATAAAACGGCAGCATTCTATGCAGAAAAATAGATGTCTGATTATTACCTTTAACTTTACACTTTCTAAGCTGAAAAATGAAAAAGATTCCTGAATTATATATAAGGACTTCTTTTATAAAGCTGTTTTGTCTAATTCTAAATTGTTGAAATGAAGATCTCACCATTGGAGAAGCCTGGCTGGGACCAGATATCAGTGTCCATCAGACTGATATCGCTGCTCTCGGGGAAAAGGCTGGTGATCATGCGGAACAGGAGCACTCCCAGTGACCACACAGTTGCCTGTTTCCCATTGTACTCGCCCCTCTCAAAATATTCAGGAGGGCAGTACCTCGATGTCCCTGGAGGAAAGAGTTTGTCATGTCTAAATGTGTTTACCACTGCATGTTTTCTCTGACTGCATTTAATATTAGTCAATAAAAATAATATTATGACTGGCTTTTCTTCTGAGAATGTTGTTAGTTCATTCACTAGAGTTCAAGTCCAAAACTACATGTTTGAAAAATAATACATACCACTGTAGGTTTTGTACAATGTGCTTTTCAGGAGGTCCCCACAGCCGAAATCAATCAGCTTCACCTCCAGGGTCTCTATGTTGACCAGGAGGTTCGGCATCTTGATATCACGATGGAGGACCCCCCGGGAACAGCACACGGCAGCAGCGTCGATAACCTGCTGCATGAAATGACGGGCCATCCCCTCACTGAAGAGGCCGTCATAATGCAGCCAAAAATCGTGCATGTCCATGCAGGGTGAGGGCTGCTCTAGCACCATGATGTACTGGTCGAGATGGTCCTGCCAGTCCAGTAACTCTATAATGTGGCGACAGCTGGTGCCTTGATTGGCCAAGACGGTCAGGGCCACCTCTAGAGGCACTGGTCTGGGATGGTCAGGCTAGAAGAAAGATGGTTTTATGATGGTTAGATGGAAGTAATTTCTCAAATGAGGATTTTGCCCAGTCTGTTTGAAATATTGATTATTTGTACACTGTGATTCACATTAATCCAAAATGTTATAAACAGCAAACAATGACTGACAGGAGATGACAAAGAGAGCGCAGTTCACTTACAAGTCTGATGTACGACTCGTTCTCCACCTTCGCGGTGAATTTCACAGCCACCTGAAGGCCGTCCTCACAGCGGGTCCCTTCATATACAGAGCTGTATGTTCCTTCCCCCATCTTCTTGCCGATGATGTATTTCCAGCAAATGTGGTCTATTGAAATATAATTATAGGCAAGCCATACTTATTCTAAACCAATTTTAACATTGTTTGTAATTCTCATATAATCACTATACTTGTATATTCATTGATACACTTTCTTTTATACACATACACCTATAATAATATATTGTAAGAATAGCATGTGTGAGTTATATTTTGGATTATGACTGTAAACTCACCCTCAACCCTCACGATCTCATCACAGTCCAGCTGTCTCGGCAGATGTGGTGCACTCTCGTCTGCTGACGGACTGACTGGACTGTCCTGATCTTGAGGCTGGTCCTCGGCAGCGGGAAGGACTTCAGGAGCACTGGCAGGAGGCTCCTGATGATCATTGTCCTCTACAGAGCAGATGACGTCCTGTAGAGAAGTCTGATCTGAAGAGGGGAATATCAACCAAAAGCTTGTTTAAATTAAATGGCAACAATAAAATATTGCATACTCGTATACATTTTTCATTTAGAGGAACATTTGACTACTTGAAATCTTGAAAATATTAAACTTCTTCAAAATATTGCTTTCTATATTCAAACTTTTATCACATGTTGTGGAATAAAGTAATTGGTCTGCATTTTTATAATGTGTGGTTGTGATTTTTACATTGTGTGTAAATGATTAAGAGACTTTGATGTTCAGAGCTCGTCTTTTACCATCAGTAAACCTCCTGGATGGGGCCTCGTCAGTGTCCTGGTCCACCTCACCCTGCTCCACCTGCTCATCCTGAGCTCTGGTGGATTTGGGACGAAACATACAACAGAAGAAAGAGGCAAACCTCCGAAACCTCTTGTTCTTCCTCTTCTTCTTCTCGTCTCTCCCTTTCTTCTGTCTCTCTCGGCCGCCTCCCTCACCGACACACACATGGGTCTCGTCGTAACGAGGATGGACCTCCGCCTTGTGGTCGGTGAGTGTAAGTAATGTACCGGGATTGACCCCGTGCACACACTCACCACCCTCCGCTTTCTCTCTGCGAGATTGTCGCTGTCCCATACTCGACAAAATAAAACGCTATCAACAACTGAATACACACTGTAAACACCGTTGATAACAATACTGCTTACTCGCCACAAATTAAGCAGGCGAGTCTCGCGCTTTATATAGTCCCGCGCAACGTTCTAAAACTCCTCTATGATATCATAAGCGCTCATGAGCTGAGAGCAGGAGATTCTCACAAGCACTAAAACAATGTCAAAATAAATAAATAAAATAAAATTAATTAATTTAATATATTTTACAAAAAAACTCTGCGTGGTTCAAAAAATATGATTATTATTATTATTAGATAACGTAATTTTAACAAGCATTTAACACAGCACTCAATTGTTCATGTAATTATTATTGTTGTTTATTTTTATTTAGCAAGAAAGCATAAAGACGTTTCAAGATGTTTAATATGTGCAGTGGCACCCAAAATATTTGGGAACATGTCAATTTAATGAAATGTGATGCGCTACAACTGTAGATGCTCTACACACCTGCGTGATCCTGACATTCATAGTTGTTTCAAAGTAATTATTTATTTAATTAAGAATAGCTCAGAGTTAGTTCTGTGTAAAGCTCTAGCATCATTTGCTTGCAGATTCCACTTGATTCGATTTTATCTAATGCAATGATATTCATTTTAATTGGCTAAAATGTAAAAACACCTTTTTAAGCATGTAAAGCACAATGTTGACTCTTGTCTAATGTATTCCAGGACGTATTACCAAAAATCTACTACAAAATATAGCCTAACAAACATACTGGGAAATGTCAATTTCCTTATTTATGTTAAAATAATAATACAAACTATTATTATAATATTCTACCTGCACTTCCTTCTAAACATGCTGGCCATCTGCGTTAAAGCCCTAAATACTGGGGGATTCTGGCAATTAATTTTACACCATAAAGCACTATTAGGCAATTTGTATACTGCACTGAACCAAGTAAGTTTCTACCTTACTTGTGTTTTTAAGGAACGATTAATCATTGATCTTCAGGGCTGTTTAAAGATATCTGCAGTGATCCACTGATCATTGATACAGGTGGGAGCTTAAAATGTTTATGTGTTTTTGTTTAAGTAGCCTATATGAATTACCATTATTGTTTGGTTGAACTATTGTGTGTCACTATACTTGATAGTTTTCATCATTAGCTTATTTTGCTTATTGTCTCTCCAGCTGAAATTTTGTCCAAACATATCCTGTGTGTGTGTGTCTTACAAATGTTGTCCTATATGTTATCCATGATATAGTGAAACCGCTTCCACATTAAAAACTGTAGATCGTTTCATAATTTTTACATCTAAAAAAATTAAACAAAATTATTTGGGGAAAATTATTAGCATATTTAAATGTTTACATTACTAATCATAGTGCAATTCAATTAATTTACAATATAACAATATTTTAAAAGCAATCATTTAATCAAATACCAAATCTCCTATTAAGTAAATGTTAACAACACTCTCAACAATAGGTACAAAATAGGTATCTATACCTTTTTAAGGTACTAATGTGTAATATAATTTTAGCTTTTGCATAGGGTACCGCTCAGTGACAGCTTTGTACCATTTTGTCTGAGAGTGAAGAAAAAAGTTATATTATCGTGTTTTTGTATAACTCTGATTTGTTGAATTTACAGGTGTGGGCCTGATGTATTATCCAAAATCACTGCAAAGCGTCTGCACCGTTACCACCATGATCAACTACAAATGCTGGAAAGGCCAATATAACTATATGAAACTAAATAAACAAATGTTCTATTAACATTACTGGAAGACGCAAAAGGCAGGAGTTTGATTTGATGATAGACTTGGTCACAAATTACTCACTTGACAGAACAGCACATCACAGGATGACACTGACACTTAAATAGATACAAAACACATCAATGTTTTACAAAATGACAAACAAAAAGACAATATTTCAAATATACAATCATTTGATTAAAACCTAATAAGCACATAGACACACGTTTCTGGTGGAAATATTAAGTGTATGAAGAAATTCGATAAAGTAATAAATCATATTTTCATGTGGCACAGGACAGAAACACGTCAAGGATGTCAGGACCTGCTCTGGATCCAGAGCAGCTGCCACGAGTCTTATTGACATTACCACAGAGTTCTCGGTCCCTACTGGATATTGTCTGTGGCTAAGTGATATATTTCAGAGACAGGCCTATATGTGTTTAAAATCAGTTTTCATTTCAGGTTTTATGCGTTTTTTGATAAATCCATTTCACATTTTTTCCCTATATTTTATGACATCCCCTAGATGGCACCAGCTGCTCTCTCCATTTCCTCTGTATCTTGATGTTTACACTTGACACTTGCTGTCTCCAGTGACAAAGGTTCTTCACGTGGTACCATCTGCATTTTCTTGCTATCATCTGATGACCACTCTAACTCAACTCAGGAACCCTGACTGCTAAAATTGAAGATCAGATACTAGTTTTCTGTTGACCAATACATTAGTGGGTGAAACAGCCCTCCGGATCTGACGGAAATGGTGGTGAGAAGTGATCAGATTTGTACATGGTTTGTGTGTTTAGCTGGACAAATGAACAAAATAGTAGTAAATATTCAGGATTTATTATTTTAAAATAAAATGTTTAATGTAAAGAAAAAATGTGTATGACATATATTTAGTAGGACGTATATATATATATTTACAGTTATACAGGAGTTTTCACTCTTGAAGGGATACTTCACACAAAAATGAAAAGTCTGTCTTTATCTACTTATAAAATACACCCTTTTGGAATATGTCAGCCCTAGTTCCATCCATTTTTGGGTGAACTATCCCCTTCTCAAATCAGAAATGAACAATATTAAAGACTTTCAAGATGTGTACATGTCTGTGTATGTATTAAGGAAAAAAAACAGGTGGTTTTTGTGTCTATTCCAGGGTGTAGATGTTCTCCTCCACTGGTCTTCTTGTGCGTATTTCATAAATAATGTGTCGGGGCTCCTTTGAGAAACTGAGATTCAAAACATAGCAGTCATTGTGATTATACTGATTATACAAAGGGCACTGTGGTATTCTCAAAGTGAATCACACGCACTTACCACCCACTGTCAAAGGCCTTCCCATAAAAGCCACCTGAATAAGAATATACACTAATTTCAGTAAAGATACATGTATACTCTTAACCTACTTATAATAGCATTTTCATTAAGCAAACGTCCAGTAGATTCATAACTGAGTGCTATACGTACGTTTGAAGGTTAAAAGGGCCAGTGCTCCCAAGAGGAGCAGGAGCAGACTGAGAGACAGAGACAGAACCGGGATGTTTATCTGTAGCGTGATCCTAGAGATCGGCTCCTCCATCTTTAAATCACAGATTTACAAGAGTTTCATCATTTTAAGTGGAGTTTAAAAACAATGTTATATAAACAGATGTCATAAAAAGACTCAGTTCCTCAGCAAAATGATTTAAATGTTACTTCCACCCTGCTATTTATACGTATACCCTTTAATTCGACTGCATTTATTTGATTAAAAAAAACAGTAAAAAAATATAATTGTGAAAAATTATTACTATTTAAAACAGCCATAATCTATGTTCATACATTTAAAGTGTAATTTATTCCTGTGATGTAAATCTGAATTTTCAGCAGTCATCAGTGACACATGATCCCTCAGAAATCAATGATAATAATAATTTCTAATTATTATCAATGTTAAAAATCAATCAATTTTGTTTGATGAATAGAAAGTAAAAAAAAAAACAGCATTTATTTGAAAGAAATTGTCTGTAACATTGTCTTTACTGCACATTTTGATCAATTTAATGCATCTTGAATAAAGGTATTACATTCTTTAAAAAAAAAATCTTACTGATCCCAAACTTTTAAAATAGTTTGTATATAAATGATAGATAAGTGAGATGTAACAAACTTTATACAGCATGCTGGCAGTTATATGTTGCAAGATACAATGACTCATAAGCTTGCTCATAACATTACTCACAATATTCTTAAATATTATTAATTATGTATAATAATACATAATCAATATTTTTTAACATGGAGAGCAGTGATTTAAACAGCAGTATTTATTATTGAATTGACTACTGTAATTGATAATTACACTGACTAAAATGATAATTGTGTATAGAGGAAGTTCCATTAGAATCTTAACAGTGATATGTTCATTTTCCATATACTGTGTATGAGCAGCAGTAACTCACCACAGCCCCAGAATGCACATGGGTGACATTCTGCCAGGAAATGTCAGAGTATGATGAGTCTGCTCCTCTGGACTGATCTGAGAGTGAAGACACTAGGAAATTCAGAGCGAAACTCAGGAAATCGCTTTTGCTACTCATGCCGGCTGATGCGTGAGAACCATTATCTACCCACAAGGGTCTCTGACATTTGAGTTATTGCTCTATGTGGTCTCTCATGACACGGTAAGACTTTGTACAAGTGCAACTGAAATGCAACTGGTGATTCATCATATATTGTGGTTTGACTGAATGGTAAAACCAATGGTCTAGGAAAGAAAACTTGCATGACACTGATGCAAATGATGTATAAAGGAATTAGCTGTTAAAAGCAGTCAGCAGAAATTATTTCTAAGGAAAGACACTATAAGCAAAACCATCATTTTTCAATTTTGAGATCTGGGCTATTTTGCTCACATAACTTGAGTTCTTTCAGACTGCACTCAATACACACTGAAGTGTTTATTTTATTATACTTTATCTATATATGTCTTTGGAATTCAATTACAATACATTTTTAAATGTAGTGTTCTCAAATTTAGCTTTTCTCCTGCTCTAAAACAAGAAGTCTTCACTTACATACAACAAACTCTATATTCTGGACCATCTATATTGAACCTGGCTTTATCAACGTTTAGATTTCTGTTCTGGAAATGCATATGCATATGCATATTTCAATAATTTTTGAAATAACTTTTGCCTTAATGCACCTCACCTGTCTGTGTCTCCAGTGGTTCTGTAATAATCGGGGTCGTGGTTGTTGGAGCTTCAAAAAT